TTTTTCTACCATGAAACTAAAAGAACTCTAGTTGAAGTCAGGGTTCAAAACCTGCACTGCCCCTAACTGACTCTGTCAATTAGCTTACCTCACTGGCCTTCAAATTCTTCATCTCTCAAATGAAAGAGGTGAATTAGATCAGGGTTTCTTATCCTGGAGTCTGTGGACAAAAAGCAGGTGGTCTACGTGGATGGATGGTAATATATGAATATATATTTCAATATACTTGATTTCTTGTGTATTAATCTTGTATATTTTGTTTACTGAATTTAAACATATTATGCTCAGAAGGGGTCATTAGGATTCACCAGAATGCCAGAGAGGTAGAGGCAGGGGTGAGCTCGAGCCAGCTCAGACATATTCGAAAAAGATGATTGTAGAATATTTAACATGAGCATTTATGCCCTAGAAATCAATGCTACAAACTGGAACTTCGTTTATTGTTCTATTGTTTGTTTAAATTTGAAAGTGGTGGAGAATATTGATCATACAGATTAAATTTAAATTTATGTCCTAAATTTTCTGAGGGCTGGTTGTTAAGCATGTACCAGCATACTCCAAAGTACATGAACCCCCAAAATATGAAGGACAATGAATTCAATTGTTATTAGGTTGCTTCGAGCCCAAGATGCAAGAAAGGAAATTTATATTCTATTCATCCTAAAATAGAGAGATTAAGATTATCTAACAGCTTTAGTCTAGAACAGTGTTATCAGACTCAAATAGAAGCCAGAGACTACTAAACCCTACATAAACATCCTTGTAGGTGACATATTGACTTAGAAAACCACATATTGACATTATTTTTGTTCTGTTGTATTTTTATTTTGTTAACTACTTCCAATTATATTTTCTTCTGGTTCATCTGCATTGAGAGTATTATGGCAGCAGTCAGCAGTGTGTTTGAGACCTCTGGTCTAGAATTTCCATTTTGTGAATGAGTGGATAATAGTAGAAAACAATACAATGAAAACTTTTAGATTATATTCCATTATGCATATACATTTGATTTGTAGATCTGAACCAAATTCTTGTGGGGCAGTTACAAGCTGATATAAGAGAAATAGCTTGGGGATAATTATATCCCAGAAGAGTTTAATATTGGGACATCTTTGCTACCAGTGTTAAGTAGGAAGGAATTAATAAGTGCTGTAGCTCATCATAGGCATCAAAGTTTATCCAAATGATTTATTTTGCTCCATCTGTGTGGCAAGTTCTATTTAACTTTTTAAAAAGATTCATTTTATTCCTTGTTTTACATTTCTCTCTTGAATTCCACTCTTTTGTCTTGTCCCATCATTTTCTACTTCCAACCAACATTCATCTCTTCCCTATTCATTATAATTGACTTCCATAAACTTTGATTTTTTTTAACTAAAGATCATGTATGTAGTACTTTTTTTTTCTTTTTACTTATTACCATTCACCTCTAAAAAGCCACTATCCAATGTGGGAAAGACAGTTACAAGTCATCCAAGTGCTAATTAAAAGCAGATCAAACCTTGAAAGTTAAAAACATTTCTTCATAAGAGCCCTGAACTATTTTTTTTCCCAGTTTTGCCTTTGAAATTAGCCTGAGTCTTTTTATACCTGAAGCTTTTGAAGCATCTCATTAAAAATCTGTTCAATAAAATGTTCATAACCTTAATTTATTTCCTGGGTAATTAATTTCTTTATTTTTTGTTAATGAAGATATCTCAGATATTTTGGCTGCAATTACAGTGTTACTCCTCTCATAAATCTCATAATGCTTCATAATGGTGTGGATGTGAACATGGGTATTCCAGATAGCTATTCCAGAAAAGCACAAGGTGAAATCCCACCTTCTACAAGAAACTTTTCCTAGGCTCCTTAATATTAATACCTTTCCTCTGAGATTACACTCAATTAATCAATTTATACACAGTGCACTTACACACATACATATATGTATACGTGTCTATTATATGTGTGTGTCTATATATACCCATATACATATAAATATACATTTATACATACATACACACACACACACACATATATATATGTATATAAATATATATGTGTGTGTGTCTTATCTATTTACCTATCACTATCTATATCTTACTTGTAGATAGCTGTTTGCATATTGTCTTCTCCAAATTATCTGCCTTGTTATATTGTGAGTTTCACCAGGGCAGGTAAATAAACACTTTTTGTTAGGCACTTTGATAGATGCTGAGACAAAAAGACAAAAACAAATCAATCCTTGTTCTTCAAGGGGCTTACATTCTATGAGATGGGTTTGTGGGGGAATGAAGGGAGTGTGGATGAGACAATATATCCATATCCCGAATTCAAGACACAGCTAGTAGCAGGTTTGGCTGGAATGTGGAGTCTGTGAAGGGAATTAAGGGGAGATGAGGCTGAAAAGCAATTTGAAGTTAGATGGTAGAGCAGCTTAAATGTCAAGGTAGGGGATTTATGTTGTGTCCTAGTGGAAAAGTGGAGGCATTAAAGGATTGGGATTAGAGGAGGAAAATGATTGAACTATAAGGTAACTGAACTCCCTTCAAATCCTCAAATTCTCCTTAGACTAATCTCTTCCTTAAAGAACTTAGTGACTAAATGGTAGGGAAAACAAAGCAGTAGCAACTGGAGCTGTGTGAGAAGGATATTTGAGCAGAGTCCTGAGGGAAAACAGGGATTCTAAGAGGTAGAGGTCAGAAGGTAAGTCATTAAATCCATGCGGTCATCAACCAGTATAAATGTGTCAAGGTGGGAGATTCAATGTTGTATTTGAGGAATAGTGAGAAGGTTAGTTTGCAGTTTGACACTGTAGTATGTGGAATGGGATAGTGTAAAATAAGGCTGCAAAGGAAGAATAGGGAAAGGTTTTAGAAAAGGGTAGGATTTAGGGAGGCATCTAAGTGGCACAGTGGATAGATCTCTGGTCCTGGAGTCAGGAAGACCTGAGCTCAAATCTGGCCTCAGACACTTACTAGCTATGCAACCCTGGGCAAGTCACTTAACCCTGTTTACCTCAGTTCCCTCATCTGTGAAATGAGTTGGAAGGCTGGAGAAGGAAATGGCAAGCCACTCCAGTACCTTTGTCAAGAAAAGCCCAAAAATGGGGTCACAAAAATCTGATATGACTGAAACAACTCAGCAACAACAGTAACAACAAGATGGGTTTAGGAAATCCTGGAAGAGCTCGAAATACCGAACCAAGGAGCTTAGATTTGATTCAGAGTTAAAAGGAAGCCATTGGAGTTTATGGGTCCCTGGGTTGGGTTGAACCTACCTTCAGTGCACGTGTGTGAAAACACAGCTCTGTAGCATCATCATGACATAGCAAAGGATGAGACATCCAGATGATAACACAAAAGTGGAGGAAGCCTTTGGATTTCTGAGTCATCAGGAGCCCAAGTTGACTGATACCTTTGGTGCCCTAAGGCTTGGGAATCTCTGACAAATGTAGCTCGTCTTTGCCACAGGTCCTGTATCACCTCTACCTCCTTAAGTCCTGATATCTCTGACCTTGGAGGACCAGCCTAGCTAATTTCAGAAAGGGTCATCATCAGAAGGTTAGCCACCAGGTGATGAAATATTTTGAGCAAGGAAACACATGCAAGAAATACAATATTATTTTCTAAAGATATTATAAATGGTCTGTAAAAGGCTAATTTTTTAAAATGCTGTGTGGGTGGTACACATGATGTATGTTTTCAATTTCTAGTTACCTTTGACAATTTATTCTCCCCTATAAAATCATATTTGCCAATTGGCAATAAATCTCAATGACAAATATGGCCATAACCAATCTAGAGAATAGAACTATTATGCTATAGATTTTTGCATGAGAGCTTTGGGTTTGAGAAAGGGACATATGAAGAAAGAGCAAAGCTGTTTGATAAAGCACACATTGGCATGAAAACCTGCTGTACTTAGTTATATCTCCAGGACCAACCAAATATGTATAATATGGTATTGGCATTGGAGGGCCATCTTTGACCTGAACCACTGCTGTTTCTCTTCTCAGGGATCAGCTTAAATTCTAAGACTCAAAGAAGACTCCCTTTGGTAACTACTCAATAAAAGCAGCTTGAATGGAGGCTGGTGCCCAGCTGTGTGGGGCCTTACATTTGTGAAATATTAATGTCTTTGTTTCTATCCAGTCCTGACAAGTTGGCAGTCTTTAATGTACATGATCAAATTGATTCCAGAGATGAGTTTTGTAACAAGAATGAGTCATGCTCCTGTGGTGCTTAAGGTTCACAGAGAGGTTTGCTCACAACTATCCTGAAGCATTGGGAGTTTAAGCACAAATTAATTACCCATCATCACACAGTTAGTGTGATGGCATATTGGTTATAATGTGATTGTGGTTTGTCCTTCCTTCTCAAAGAGGAAGGGAGATGATGACATGACTTGCAATTGACTTTGAGTGAGGGAGGGCTGTGCAAAATCACCAGCCTCACTTTCTCCTCCACAGCTATCTGGGTCCAGGGACCAGATATTGATTACAAGAACTAGAGATGGCCTAGGATACAGTGGGAGACCTTGACCGTTTTAAGGTGAGGTCTTTCCAGGTTCTCATTTTCAGTGAGGCAATGACCATTCAGCGAATAAGCCTCTTTAAGGAGTCAAGGGAGGGCCCCTTTAACAAAAAAAGTCAAACTTGGAGGGAAGGGTTGGGGAAGATCCTCAGGGGTGCTGGCCAAAAGAAAATCAGCTCTTATTTACATTCACTCTACACCTGGAGGGCCCAAAATAACCATTAAGTAGTGCTTGGGCAGGGACCTATTGTCCAATCCATGAGGTCTAGAGTGAGTTGGGTTTCATGCTTGGTCTTTGAGAAAGAAATATAGCCAGTAAACCCCAAGATAACTAGATAGCTTTTAGAGGTCAAAATTTACCTTCCTTTTGGGCATAACAGGAGAAAGGGAGAGGGAGAGGGAGAGGGAGAGGGAGAGGGAGAAGGAGATACCCAACTGGAACTGGCCAGCTGGGTCCCCATTCAGGCAGCTCAGACTACTTACAGTTTGTGGTTTATCCTTCTGTTCTCTGACCCATATTGGCTGTGTAATCCTGGGCAAGTAGCTTAATCTGTCAGTATTCTAGGCCTGTAGTATAAAATTCAGATAGAAATGGGGGCCACTTAACTGTACGTAATGATCCAAGGGAGCTGCATATTGAAGTAGAAAACTTTATTTTAACATTATCTACGTTTTACTGCTTTTATTTTGTTAAACGTTTCTGAATTACATTTCAACCTGGTTCAGGTTTCATTCAGGAGTGTTATGGGTTTATCCTTGATACCTCTAAGGAAACTCTATGAGTTGTAGAAAGGGTGGTAACATGTGTTACTGGAGGGGGTTTCCTTATCCGGGAATTCCCTATACTAATGAAGAACAGATCTATTCCCTATTCATATCACATAGCTAGTAAGTGGTGAAGGCAGGATTTAAAACCTAGGCCCCAGTTGCAAATCTATTCTTTTTTTTTTTTTGTGAGGCAATTGGGGTTAAGTGACTTGCCCAGTGTCACTCAAAGTATCAAGTGTCTGGTCTCAGTCCTCATCTGACCTCACGTCCTCCTGACTCCAGGGCCAGTGCTCTATCCACTGCAGCACCACCTAGCTGCCCCGCCCCTAGTTGCCAATCGAGTACCCATTCCATTACCCTCTACAGCTTCTCAAAGAGCAAGATACTGTGTTAAGTACAGTGCGGGGAAACCAAAGACATTGATTCTTTCCTTTCTGTAGATGACAATAATATTCAGGAGATGAGACATGGAAATAACAAGACCATTATCCAAATAACAACTAATTAGTGCTAATTGGCTCAGGAGGTATGGACATTCAGAGGATGGGGAATTCACCATAAACTGCAACGGTCAAGGAAAGCTTAGCAAGGTTCAGAAGTCACACAATATTAAACAGAGAAGATAGGTCAAGCCTTTGTCCAGAAAATGAAATTTTAGAAAATATTAACACTAGCTTTCTTTAAGCACATCTCAAGTGCCATGTAGTATTGGTCACCTTCCCTGAATGACCTTCAAGTTTTTCTTGCTCTCCACAATAAAATGACTCTATTTTCATATATAGGTAATGAGTATAGTCTGGCTCACTCTCTCAGGGCCAGGCCTCCTACGTGTCTCTCCCAGACAGGAACCTTAAGGAATCTTCTCTATCACCAACGGTTCAAGCCCCTGATGACTGTGTTCTGCTCATTATTAGTGGCCTATAACTATAACCCTAGCTCTATTTAACTGCTTAACCCTGAGTAGTTTTGGCAAAGGGATATTTAATTCAAAGAAATAGAAAGAGCAAACATGCAAATGTTTCCCCTGTACCTGGGCTGTACTCTCCCTCACATCACCTTGATCTCTGGGAAGGTAGGTTCCAAACTTAGTTTCATTCCTATATTGCAGTGGTTCCACAACTTCATATCTAAAGGTAGCATACTGTAGAGAGAATCTTTTTATTGGGCTGAAGTCTCTAAATTCAGTCCCAAAGATCATTGCTTGATCCTTGGAGTATAGATGCCGCAAAACTTAACCTAAATGCAACTATCACCCAGACCTTTAAAATTCACAACATTGGTTCCACTCACTACACCTATTTTAGAAAGCAACAAACAATAAGTTCAAAGATCTAGCTCCATAGACAAGAAGGCACTAAGCCTGTTACCCTCACTTCATGGTCTTTTATCAGACACTATGAGCTTTCACAGATTCAGATGAAATAAAGACAAGAAAAGAGGAAATGATTGAAGCTGATAGGACTTGTTTTAACGCCTCTGAAGCCAATCAAAGAGCCTCTCATTCTTCATGTAGTTAGCTGACCAGAACCAGTTATGGAATGTCTATACATACTCCACAGTCTCTCTAATGTGCTTCCCTGACACATTATTATGACGCTTCTAGAAGCTATCTCCTCAGCATCCTCCATGTGCGGAGGATGCAGAGCTTGCATAAGCTAAAAAAAAAGCTGACGGGATCTATACACATACCAGGTCCCCCATTACATACAGTTTAAATATACTTATCTTTGCACATTATCTCCCTAAATTCCATTAAAAAAGAATGGGGGGGGGGTCATAGAAGGGAGGACAGATTGGGGGAAGTGGTATTCAGAAAGCTTGTCATTTTTGGGGGGGAGGGGAGAGAAGGGGAAAAAATTTGGAAATCAAAATATTGTGGAAGTGAATGTTGAAAACTAAAAATAATTTTAAAAAATAAATGTTTGTTGAATTGAATAGTAAAGCAAATGCCAAGTTTTGGGACCCTACCTTTGCCGTAATTTTCATATCCATCCTATTCTCTGTCTTCTCAGGCTACCATCCTAATTAAGGTCCCTAATGCATCGCACCTAGACTATTGCCTCAGTCTCCAAATTAGACTCCTCTTCACCCAGCTGTAAAAATAATCTTCATGAAGCACAAGTTTGTGCTTGCTTTTGACACATTCCTAATCCCCCAGAAAAAGATGATGATGATGGTGATGATGATGATAATAATGTAGCTCCCCTGCTAAAGAACTTTAGTGTCTCTATTGCCTGTTTGAATAAAATACAAACTTTAGCTTGCTATTCAAAGCTACATATAATTTGACTTCAACCTATCACTTCCAGGTTTATTGAAAATCATGACCATTCATGTAATCTGTTCCCTAGAGTAACTTGACTGCTTGATCCCCCCCCAAATCTATCCATCCTTTTCTTTCATTGTACAAGTCATATACACCATCATCTATAACAAGAATTCTTAATCTAGAGTTAATGAACTTATTTTTAATGAATTTTGATAAGCATATTTCAATTGAATTGGTTTCTTTTGTAATCCTATGTATTTAATTTTGTGCATTTAAGAATATTACTTTTAGGAGGCCATAGGCTTCACCAAAGTGCCATAAAAATCCATGAAACAAAAAAGTAAGTAATCTCTACTATACAGTAAAATTTTCCTGATTTCTAGCTATTAGTGCTCCTCCATCAAATTATCATCTATCTACTTATTTGTTTATCTTTTTTTTTGTATATTTTTATCCCTAATGTCTAGAATTGTGTCCTATATGTAGTCAGTCCATTAATAAAGCACTTGTTAAATTGGGGAAAACAAATGGAAAGAAGACAAATGAATATTTATTAAGTTCTTGCTATGTGCTGGGCACTTTGCTATGTGAAATGGTCCTTCCCTTCAAAGAATTTATATTTTTAAGAGGAGGACACAACACATGCAGTAGACACTAATATAAAGGAATCCCAATTTTGACAACTCCCTACTGTGCTATCTTCAATTAAGTCTCTTAAAACTCTTACCTAAATTTCCTCCTCTCTGAAATGAGTGGAGCTTGGACATCCAGGGTCTCTTTTAGCACCAAATCTATGCTTATTTACTTATTAAACAACTGTATCTTCTGATGCCAGTCCTATAAGGGGAGACAAAAGTGAAGCTTACAGCTTTGCTACCCTAACCATGATAAATGTGCTTGAAAGTTACTGATAGTGACACTGAAAGGTGATCCTGGCATTGTGTCATCATGTACCAGTGAATCAAACAGAGACAAATAGAACTAGCCAACTACTGTGAGCTCCTAGCACTGGCTGGTACCATCCACAGCCATGATGAGCACCCACCTGCTCTAAAGAATCTTGCAACTGTAATAAGTTGCCTGTGATAATCAATCATTTGAGAAAGTGACATGGAATATAAATGACATTACTAAGATTATAACTGGATGTTTCAGACAATTACAGATGGCACTGATGAATCACCCAGACATTTATCCTATGTTTTGCAGGACTATTGAGGGGAAAACCAATTTTGTTCAGTAACTAAATTTCAAAATATCTTGGAGCCAAGGATTATATCACTTTTCATCTTGTCCTTTTGACTCAGTGAAACTCCTAGAAGTAAAATACAAAAGTAAGAATATGTAAACTGCAATATTAAAAAAATACACACTTTATCAGTGTTGATAGAATTTCAAATCATAACCTCAACTAAAGACAGAATTTACTGTAGAAAATAAATGAACACTGAAGATAATGCTATTTACTTATGGCCCTTGTGAATATTCCAAGTTGTATAAACATTTAATCAGGATGTATGAGAAGATATCAAATAAAACTTAAAATTTGTCTTTTTATGTCTTTATGCACAAAAGAGAGTATAAACTGTGCAGAAAAGAGAAGTTTCTAGTTGGTGTAATTGAAAAAATGATTTAATGTCATCAAGGACAAGAGTAACCAGAAATGGAGTGGTTTTAATTATGGATTGAGAAAGAGATACACCAAATGGGCAACTCTAGGGGTCCACTGATATTTTGAATCCAAGCATTTCCAAAAAACAGAAAAGGGCTTCCTGGACATTGGGTAGGTCCTCAGTAGAGCTTTTGTTGTTCATCCGTCATTTTTTGAAGAGGACCAATGACATCACAAGGGATGTCTTGACTTGCCCATGAATTGGATTTAAGTGAGGCAGAGTTGCACAAAGTCCTTATCTTCTTTCTCTCTTCCTGAGTCATCAAAGTCCAGTGGCAGGACAAAAGTCAAGATAACTGACAGTGGTCCATGACGCAATGGATGACCTTGGCATCTTCAATGTCTGACCAAGTTTTAAGTGTTCCACAGTGCCCACTTCACTGCCTTTATAGTTGTTAGAATGAATTGTTCTCATTTGCCCATGTCACTGGTGAAAGTCTTGAGGTAGACATCCCCCTCACTCACCAACAGGTTTGAGGCCTGTCAGTTACCCTCAACCTGGTTTAGCCCATCTGTTGAAACAGTTTACCAGATGTGGACACTGTGCATTCTACAGTTTCTTGGAGCCACAGGTGAGAGTTGGGTGAGAGTGGACACCAAAGATGGTGCTAGAAATATAGATAAAAACACATTTGATGAGTCAGTATGGAGGGATTGCTGGTCTCCACCAGAAGAATACCCACAGTAATGGAATCGCATCCATTTAAAGAAGCAAGAAAATAAACATTTGATCTTCAACCAAACATTGTGACTTAGAAAAAAGCATTTATGATACAGGTATATTTAGCTTGATGGGAACAAATTCTATGATGAGGAAGAACAAGAAAGAAAACTATTAATTTCACAAGTACATGATGG